GAGTGAGGTCAACAATTAATAAATGGGAACTCCTGAAACTGAGAAGCTTCTGTAAGGCAAAGGACACAGTCAGCAAGCAAAAAGTCAGCCCACAGAATGGGAAAATATATTCACAAACCCCACATCTGACAAAGGGCTGATCTCCAAAATTTACAAAGAACTCAAGAAGCAAGTCTCCAAAACACCAAAGGATCTAATTAAAAAGTGGGCTGCAGAACTAAATAGAGAATTTTCAATAGAGGAGTCTAAAATGGCTGAGAGGCACTTGAGAAAGTGCTCAACATCCTTAGCCATCCGGGAAATGCAAATCAAATCAACTCTGAGATACCATCTTACTCCTATCAGAATGGCTAAAATCAAAAACACCAATGACAATTTATGCTGTAAAGGATTTAGTAAAGGGGAACACTCCTTCATTGCTGGTGGGAGTGCCAACTTGTTCAGCCACTTTGGAAATCAGTATGGAGATTCCTCAGAAAAATGGGAATAAACCAACCACAAGACCCAGCAACTCCACTCTTAGGCATGTATCCAAAAGATGCCCATTCATACAACAAGGAAATCTGTTCCACTATGTTCATAGCAGCATTATTTGTAATAGCCAGAACTTGGAAGCAACCTAGATGCCCCTCAACCAAAGAGTGGACAGAGAAAATGTGGTACATTTACACAATGGAATAATATTCAGCAGAAAAAGAAACAGTGGAATCCCAAAATTTGCAGACAAATGGATGGCACTAGAAGAAACCATCCTTAGTGAGGTAACCCAGTCACAAAAAGAAAAACATGGCATGTACTCTCTCATATATGGATTTTAGACATGGATCTGGGGTGTGCCAACCTACAATCCCATGACCAGAGAGTCTGGGAAAGAGAACCTACCTTCAATGGCTGATGGAAGCAGAGGCAGACTCCCACATCTAAACACTGAGCTGAACTCAAGAAAGCCAGTGACAGAGAGGGAGGACTGATGAGTAGGGGTCAAGACTGGGCTGGTTTAACCCCCAGAAACAGCTGACCTGACAAAGGTTAACTCTTGAATCCCAGACTGATGGCTGGGAATCCAACATGGGACTGATCAAGACCCCCTGAATATGGGTGTCAGTGAGTAGGCCTAGGTAATCTATTGAGCCTTGGGCAGTAGATCAGTATTTATCCCTGGTATACAAATGGTCTTTGGGTGCCCATCCAACAATGAGAGATGCACTCTCCCTGGACCCTTGGGGGAGGGTCTAGGCCCTGCCCTGTATTAAATGACAGACTATGGACACCCCCATGGAAGGCCTCACCCTCCCTGAGGAAATGAGGGTATATTGGAGGGGTTGGTGTGAGGGCGTGGGTCGAGGGGAGGGAAAGGGAGAGGTACCTGGAATTGACATGTGAAGCAATCTTGTTTCTAATTTAAATTTAAATTTAAAAATTAAAAAAGATTGACTTATTTAAATAAAATTATAAGAAAAAGAAGGTAGCTCACAGAATGGGGACAGGGTCTGCAGAAAGCCTGAGATAGACTCTTGAGATGAAGATCCATTTTTTCTGGGAGCAACAGGCCATCAACACTACAAACCTAATGCATAGACAGCATCAAAGAGATGGTCAGCTGTCTACTCAAAGGAGACCAGCATCAACACACTCTCGTTTGTCTTGACGAGGCTACCTGGTAATACACAGATCTTCACTCAGTCCTAGGGAAGATGGTCAGGTGAGTCTCAAGCCACATCAGCAAGTACCAAAACAAAACACAAGACAATATCCCAGCAGCAGAATCAATAGGAACAGCCAAGTAACTATTCAAAGCACCATCACGGTCGGATGGTTTTCAGGTCAGCTTCATAGCCACCAAAGCAATTGATGATCCAAGCACATGAAACCTTTCAGTTGTACCCAAACATTGAGCCACACAAAGTTTTGTATCTGTGTTTTAAATGGGTGTTGTTTTCCTATTCTATGATCAATAAGGTAATAATACAAACAATTTAGGTAATTCCAATCGCGGATACTTGCCAAATATACACAAGACCCACACAGAATCAGTGCTGTCAACATCTTCTCATGTGTGGGTAAGGTTCATCAATCCACACCTGAGGATTCATAGCCAGCCAGTAGTTGCTGGAGAGCAGAGACAGACATATTTCAGTGGTGTAAGCCATGGTGACATGGCCCTAGTCGAATAAATAACCTTCCTGTCACACCTGCCCTTGTAAGCAGCCCTAATGACATTCATTGGGTCATTTAAAAAACACTTAAAAACAGGACTAGATAGGAAGAGGAAGGGGATAAGGCAGAGTGGGAGGTGCACAAGTGAGGTTAAGCAGAAGTGAACATGACAAAGTATGTCAGTGTATGCATACATAAAGACGTCATGATGAAATCCATGTTATACCCTTTAAATTATTCCTATGTTTCATTAATATGTGCTAGTAAGAGCATTTGAGAACACAAAGTCAATGGATCATGAGGAAGAGTATCTAAGTTTGACCTCTGGACTCCACATAAATGGAGGTGCACCCACATGATTATGCAGCCATATGTGCATTAAAAATAGACATTAAACCTGTATTGCAGATCCAGCCAAATACCATAACCATTAAAAAATCACATCAGGAAAAGTAATACTTGCAGACACCCTCTCCTTCAGGCCTGTCATTGATATAACTGGTGTAGTCTATTTTTTGGTGTTGGAAGTTGGAAGTGAGCTCAGATACTCAGGGATATTTACCATGACTGTGCTGCACATCTGAGCTACAAGTCTGCTTCCATAATGTCCTCTACTGCAGTATAGGCTTATGAGGACAGGGTCCTGTAAGCACGATGCACTACTGTATGAGGAGGAAGCAAACATTCATAACAACTTCAGCCTAAAGTTCCACTTAAGAGCAAGTTTACTTTACTGCATGGTTGCATGTATGCATATCTGTGTATGTGGGTGCCTGCCTGCATGTGTGCATGTGCCGGCATCCCTGTGTGTGTGTGTGTGTGTGTGTGTGTGTGTGTGTGTGTGTGTGTGTGTGTGTGTTCCTTTCATGCATAGTGTTCAAAGAACAACCAATGCGGCTACAATCCAGAAAGGAAACTGACTCTCCTTTCCCCAACAGCAGTCAGCTGTCAATAGCTCCTAATAAGCCTCTCCCTCTGAAGGAGAATTCAACTAGGGGACAGCTTCATGACTATATATATAGTCACTTCCTTTCCCTCCATCCTCCCCCAGTCCCCTATCCCTCCCAACCCTCCCATCCCTCTCCATCTCCCTTCTGCTCCCCAGGAAGCATAAGGCCTTCCATGAGGGATTTTCAGATTCTGTCATATAATCCCAGGCAAGGCCTAGGTCCACGTTGGGAGAGCATCCCTCCATGTGGAATGTCCTTCCAGAGTCCGTTTGTGGGCCACGAATAAATACTGATGTACTTTCTGAGGCCTCTTTTCTGACACCCAGGTTCGGGGAGTAGGTGTCTTGATCAGTTCCATGCTGGTGTCTCAGTCATCAGTCTGGGGTCCATGGGTTCCCCCTTGTTTAGGTCGCTGCCTCTGTGGGTTTTGCCACCCTGGTCCTGATTGCGTTGCTCATCCCTCCTCTTTGCAGCTGGGTTCCTGGAGTTCAGTTCGGGTTTTAGCTGGGCGTGTCTGTCTCTGTTTCCATCAACCACTGGATGAGGGCTCTAGGATGGCATATAAGGTAGTCATCAATCTCATTATCAGGGGATGGCATTTAAGGTAGCCTTAATGCCAGTTGGTGTCATTTTTGTAGATCTGTGAAGATCTCACTAGTGCCAGATCTCTCCTCCAACTTATAATGGCTCCCTCTATTATGGGATCTCTCATACTTCTCCCTCTATTTTGCCCTGGCCCAACCTTCCTGCTCTCCCGTGTCCTCCTAACACCTCCTCTTCCGCCTCCCTCTTTCTCCCATCTCCCTCTCCCCTTCCCCCTGTTCTCAATCCAATTATGAGATCGCTTCCTTTAAACATGCAGAGGGGCTGTCCACGGGGCTTCTCTTCTCCCAGGCCCTGTCTCTTGGCTGCTTGGACGCTTGCTGGCTGCATGACATTTTCATTGCCATAAAAATACAGAGCCAGAGACTCTGTCCCGTTCCCTCCCAGTCAATGACCTTAGTCCCCTAGGAAACCATCGTTCTTACTTCAACAATATAAATTAAGTTTGCACTGCACAGAAAACCTCACGTTTCTTGCATGATAGTTATACCTCCCGAGATTTTTCAACTTTTTATTCACCAATGAAATAACATCTGTCCAAATGGTTTGACATGATAGGCCTGTTTTCCCTTAATAACACATTACAATATGTAATTATAGAATTTTCTTTGTGTACCAATTAATATTATCTCTTGGGTCACCACTGGCAACAGGTCCATAATTTGTTTCTCTGATGCCACTAGATAATTTTTGAAGTCTATGGCAAATTAAAGACAATGGTTTTGTGGTGATCTAGCAGATCAAAGTCACAAGATTCACTGTAATAGTATTCATCCTGTCAGTGACAAACCCAGCCATCCAATTGCTGAGTGCCTAGCCATGGTGACTGTACAGACCTACAGACCTCTACCGTTAGATAGTGGCAAGCTCCATACTCTGACCCCTAGACAGGCTTTATTCGTGCAAGAAAGATATCACCACACCTAGCATTGATCCACCTTAAATACTAAGAAGACACTATTTCTTGGTTGGACATGAAACACAAGGGTAAATTTCGTCAATATGTGTTAAGTGCTTGGACTTAGGTAAACATCAGGAGCACTGAGGAAGGGGGGGCTCCAGGAGATGTGGCCTGTAGGAGAACTTGGGTGGGCATTTTCCCCGCAGCCGTTCCCAGCCACCCTACTTTGATCACTTTGCTCCCTGGCTACAGTTGCAGTCAACCTAGCACTTGGCCAACATTTTTAAGCGTTTCTATTGGGTTCATACTCTTGATGGGCAGCGGAGCTGTCCAATCTTAATTCTTGGCTTGGCCTGCTACCCCGCCTACTCCCGGTCTGCACACAGCGCATGTGCTGGTGAGCCAGTCAGTGGGAGTCTGAGCAGAGGCTGGTTAAGTGTGGTTCCCGTGGTCACCACTGCACTTGTTCTTGGCCCCAGCCGCCTCCGAGGGAGCAGCCACCTAAGTCCTTCTCCTCCGTGAAGAAACAGAGCTGCTCTGGAAAAGCCCTCGGGAGCCCTGGGAGCTGCACGGTGAGAGCAGAACCGAGGTGAGGGAGTTGAAGACAGTTTGGGCTTCTGAGGAGGGCGCGTGGGCGGGAAGAGGATGGAGGATCCTCAGCAGCAAGAGCCGCCTGTGTGGGTGGGCGGCCTCCTGAACTCTGCTTTTTCAGGCTGCCGGCTTCAGTGTCTCGGCTGAGGCTTTCCTCCAAGGGAAGATGCTTGGTGAGGCTCCACCTGGACAGTCTGTGGCCATGAGAGGAGCTCCCTGAGGCAGTTGAGCCGGGTAAACACCACGTGCTCTGCCGCCTTCTGGAGACTTTCCACCCTTTTTCCCTGAGGCAAAGACCAGGAACTGTGCTTCTACCGCCTCAGCCACCAAGCCCTAGGGCAGCCGCTAGCACTTTCAGACCTAGAGAGTAAGTAGGACTTTTCTATGCCATCAAACCGTTGATTGAGAAAATCCAAAATTTTCCTCTCATTGAGAAAATGTGTACCCCCATTCCCATCCCATCTTGCAGCGGAAAGATTGTGTCACATTAAGTTGCTAGACTCTACTGAGTATTCAGGAATTCACACTGAGTATTTGGAGTGAGCAACATTTTAGTGTTCAGTCTTTGGTTTTCCACTCCATAATGAATTATTCTGAGAGTTCATTGTTAAAGAGATGTGCCTCTTTTGGTTACTACCCTCCCCTCTTCCTCCCCTTTTATTTAGAGAAGTTGCTTTTTAATTTTTTAAAATTTTTCTTTTTTCTTTTTTATTATTTTAATTTTAAATAGCTTGTTTTACATGTCAATCCCAGTTCCCTCTCCCTCCCCTCCTACCGCACCCCCCATCCCCCCCATCCTCCCACCCTATTGCAAATTCCTTCCCTATAGGGGATATTTAGAGTCTGTCATTTCACTCAGGGTAGGGTCCAGGCACTCCCCTAAGAGTCCAGGCTGAGAGAGCATCGTGTTTGTGCTATGGACAAACAATGTCTGTTTGTATTCCAGGGATAAACACTGATCCACTTCTCAGGACCCCATAGGTAGCCCAGGCCTCCTCACTGACTCTCACACTCAGGGGGTCTGGATCAGTCGCATGCTGGCCTCCCCGCTGTCTGTCTGGTGTCCAAGAGCTCTCCCCTGTTCAGATCAGCTGTCTCTGCTGGTTTTGCCAGCCCATTCTTTGCCAATTTGCTCATGGCTCCTCTCTCTCTGTCACTGGGTTCCATGGGTTCAGTTCAGTGTTTAACTGTGGGTGTTTGCCTCTGCTTCCATCAGTCACTGGATGAAGGCTCCAGGATGGTTATGGACATCAAGTTCATTATCAGGAATGGGCATTCCTGGTGGTCTCTCCACTATTGCTTAGCTTGCCAATTCTTGTCATCCCTTTAGATCACTAGAGGTCACACTGGTGCCTGATCAGTCTTCTAACCTATGATTCCCTCTTCCCCCTATCCTACCCCCCACTCAACCTTCCTGTTCCACCATGGCCTACTCTGTCTTCCTTTTCTCCCCCTCTCTATTTCTTATTAATTTTTAAACCTTTGGATTTCCCAGGTCAGCAGAAGAAGTCCAGTTCTTGAAAGGTCGTTGTCTATAGAGAGTTCAGATGAGGTGAGTGAACTCTGAGATAAATCGGTGTCATTTTTGTATGCCATCATTTCTTGGGGATTTACAAACTGCATTAAGTACTTGCCTATTTAAATTTTGGGTGGATTCACTCCACTACATTTGGTTTACTTGTAGATATGCTATGATGATTATCCTCGTTTAGTTCCCAAGTGGAACTAGCTTATCCTATCTTTCATATTGAAACACAATGACGGTGTCAATCCTGTCATTTCGCATTAATTTCAGTTATTTCTCTTTTGCATCTATTAAAGCTAGAAGTTTTCTTGGAGAAATACTGCAAATGATATTTTGATCAGTTTTCTTTTTTTCTCAAAATACATCTAAATGTTCTTGAACTTCATTTTATTTGGCATATTTATATAATATAAATAAATGTTAGACACTGCCTCCAAAATTAAAGTGTACAGACAATAATGTTTTCTTTGGCTATAGGTAGATATATTGAGGCAGGCCTCTTTTGTTATTTATTTATTTTATTTTTAAGTTTAAATTAGAAACAAGGTTGCTTCACATGTCAATTACAGGTCCCTCTCTGTTTCCCTCCCCTCCTCTGATGCACTACCACCAACTGCCCCAATATACCGTCATTTCCCAGGGATGGTGAGGCCATCCATGGGCGTATCCATAGTCTGTCATTTCATCCAGGGCAGGTCCTAGACCCTCCCCCAAGAGTTCAGGGTGAGACTGCATCTCTCATTGTTGGATGGGAGTCCAAAGTCAATTTGTAAACCCAGGATAAATACTGATCTACTATCCAAGGCTCAATAGATTACCTAGGTCTCCTCACTGACACCCACATTCAGGGGTCTTAATCAGTCCCATGCTGTATTCCCAGGCATCAGCCTGGGATTCAAGAGTTAACCCTTGTCAGGTTAGCTGTTTCTGGGGTTAAACCAGCCCAGTCTTAACTCCATTTGGTCATCAGTCCTCCCTCTCTGTTACTGGCTGTCTTGAGTTCAGCTCAGTGGGATTGTAGGCTGGCACTGCCCAGATCTATGTCTAAAATGCATATATGAGAGAGTACATGCCATGTTTCTCTTTTGTGACTGGTTACCTCGATCAGGATGGTTTCTTCTAGTGCCATCCATTTGCCTGCAAATTTCAAGATTCCATTGTGTTTTTCTGCTGAATAGTACTCCATTGAGAAAATGTACCACATTTTCTCTATCCACTCTTCAGTTGAGGGGCATCTAAGTTGCTTCCAAGTTCTGGTTATTACAAATAATGCTGCTATGAACATAGTGGAACAGACATCCTTGTTGTATGAATGGGCATATTTTGGATATATGCCTAAGAGTGGAGTTGCTGGGTCTTATGGTAGGTTTATTCCCATTTTTCTGAGGAATCTCCATACTGATTTCCAAAGTGGCTGAACAAGTTGGCACTCCCACCAGCAATGGAGGAGTGTTCCCCTTTCACCACATCCTCTCCAGCATAAATTGTCATTGGTGTTTTTGATTTTAGCCATTCTGACAGGAGTAAGATGGTATCTCAGAGTTGTTTTGATTTGCATTTCCTGGATGGCTAAGGATGTTGAGCACTTTCTCAAGTGCCTCTCAGCCATTTTAGACTCCTCTATTGAGAATTCTCTATTTAGTTCTGCACTTTTAATTGTCCTCTGGTGTTTGAGACTTGCTTCTTGTGTTCTTTGTAAATTTTGGAGTTCAGTCCTCTGTCAGATGTGGGGTTAGTGAATATTTTTTCCCATTCTGTGGCCTGCCTTTTTGTCTTGCTGACAGTATCCTTTGCCTTACAGAAGCTTCTCAGTTTCAGGAGGTCCCATTTATTAAATGTTGATCTAACTGTGTGTGCTACTGGTGTTATGTTCAGGAAGCTGTCTCTTGTACCAATTCATTCAAGGGTACCACCCACTTTCTTTTCTAAGAGGTTCAGTGTGGCTGGATTTACGTTGGGGTCTTTAATCCATTTGGAATTAAGGTTTGTGCATAGTGATAGACATGCATTGATCCACATTCTTCTACATGCCAGCATCCGCATATGACACCATATGTTGAAGATACTTTCTTTTTTCATTGTATATTTTTAGCTTCTTTTTCAAAGATCAGATGTTCATACATGTGTGGGTTAATATCAGGTTTTTCAATTTGATTACATTGGTCTACCTGTCTATTTTTGTGCCAATACCAAGCTGTTTTCAGTAATATAGCTCTATAATAGAGCTTGAAGTCTAGGATGGTGATGCCTCCAGATGTTGCCTTGTTGAACAGGGTTGTTTGGCTATCCTGGGTCTTTTGTTTTTCAATACAAAATTTATTATTGTTCTTTCATGGTCTGGGAAGAATTGTGCTGGGATTTTAATGGGGATTGTATTGAATCTGTAGATTGCTTTTGGCAGGATTTCCATTTTTACTACATTGATCCTACCTATCCAAGAGCATGGGAGATCTTTCCATTTTCTGCGGCCTTCTTTAAAGATTCAAAGTTCTTGCAAAACAGGCCTTTCATTTGTTTGGTTAGCATTACCCCAAGGTATTTTATGTTGTTTGTGGCAATTGTAAAGGGTGATGTTTCTCTGATTTCTTTCTCAGCCCTTTTATCATCTGTGTATAGCAGGGCTACTGATTTTCTTGAGTTGATCTTGTCTCCTTCCAATTTGCTGAAGGTGTTATCAGCTGTAAGAGTTCCCTGGTAGGATCATTTATATAAATATCATATCATCAGCAAATAGTGAAACTTTGACCTCTTCCTTTCCAATTTGTATCCCCTTGATTCCCTTTTGTTTTCGTATGGCTCTGGCTAGAACTTCAAGTACAATATTGTAAAGGTATGGAGAGAGTGGACAGCTTTGTCTTGTTCCTGATTTTAGAGGAATTGCATTGAGTTTCTGTCCATTTAGTTTGATGTTGGCTATTCGTTTGCTCTATATAGCTTTTATTATATTTGGTTATGTTCCTGTTATCCAAGATCTCTCCAAGACCTTCATCATGAAGGGGTTTTGGATTTTGTCAAAGGCTTTTTCAGCATCTAGTGAGATGATCATGTGATTTTTGTTTTTCAGCTTGTTTATATGGGGGGTTACATTGATGGATTTTCGTATATTGAACCATCCTGCATCCCTGGGATGAAACCTATTTGATCGTGGTAAATGATTGTTTTGATGTGTTTTTGGACCCGATATGCCAATATTTTATTATTTTTTCATCAATGTTCATGAGGGATATTGGTCTGAAGTTCTCTTTCTTAGTTGTATCTCTGTGTGGCTTGGGGAATCAAGGTTATTGAAGCCTCGTAGAAAGAGTTTGGCAAAGACCCTTCTGCTTCTATTGTGTGAAATACTTTGAGAAGAATTGGTATAAGCTGTTCTTTGAATTTCTGGTAGAATTCTACACTGAGGCCATCTGGACTTGGGCCTCTTTTGGCTGGGGGAATTTGATGACTGCTTCTATTTCCATAGGGGTTATAGGTCTATTTAAATTGCTTATCTGTTCTTGATTTAATTTTGGATAGTGATGGCTATCCAGGAAGTCATCCTTTTCCTTTAAATTTTCGAATTTTGTGGAGTACAGGTTGTCAAAGTTTGACCTGATGATTCTCTGAATTTCCTCAGAGTCCATTGTTATGTCCCCATTTTCATTTCCAATTTTGTTAGTTTGCATGTTCACACTCTGCTGTTTGGTAAGTTTGGACTAAGGTTTGTCTATCTTGTTGATTTTCTCAAAGAACCAACTCTTCGTTCCATTGATTGTTTGTATTGTTTTCCTAGTTTCTACTTTATTGATTTTAGCCCTCAATTTGATTATTTCTTGGCATCTATTCCTCCTGGGGGAGTTTGCTTCTTTGTGTTCTAGAGCTTTCAGCTGTGCTGTTAATTCTCTAGTATAACTATTCTCCAGTTTCTTCATGTGGGCACTTAGTGCTATGAACTTCCCCCGTAGCACTGCTTTCAAAGTGTCCCATAGGTTTAGGTATGTTGTGTATTCATTCTCATTGAATTTGAGGAATTGTTTAATTTCTTTTTTATTTCTTCTTTGACCCAGGAATGGTGCAGTTGTGCATTATTCAATTTCCATGAGTTTGTAGGTTTTCTGCAATTTGTGTTGTTGTTGAATTCTAATTTTAACGCATAGTGGTCTGATATGATGCATGGAGTTATTCCAATTTTTTTGAAGCTGCTGAGGTTTGATATGTTGCCAATTATGTGGTCGATTTTTGAGAAGATTCCATGTGGTGGTGAGAAGAAGGTATATTCTTTTTTGGGTGGATGAAGTGTTCTAGACATGTCTGTTAATCGCAGTTGGGTCATTACTTCTATTAGACCCTTTTTTTCTTTGTTGAGCTTCTGTCTGGTATTCCTGGCTAGTGGGGAGAGTGGTGTGTTGAAATCTCCCACTATAAGTGTGTGGGGCTTTAGATGAGATTTAAGTTGTAGTAATGTTTCTTTTACGAACATGGATGCCTTTGTATTTGGGGCACAGATGTTCAGGATAGACACTTTATCTTGGTGGATATCACCTGTGATGAGTTTGTAATGACCTCCTTCATCTCTTTTGATTGATTTTATTTTAAAGTCTAATTTGTTAGATATTAGGATTCCTACCCTTGCTTGTTTCTTGGGTCCATTTGATTGGAAAATTTTTCCCAACCTTTAACTCTGAGGTAATGTCTGTCTTTGAGGGTGAGGTGTGTTTCTTGTATGCAGCAGAAGGATGGGTTCTTTCTTAGAATCCATTCTGCTAACCTGTGTCTTTTTATGGGTGAGTTAAGGCCATTAATGTTGAATATGTTTTCTGCCTCTTTGAGGTGTTTTCTTCACCTTCCTCTACACCTATTTTTCTTAGGTTTGGTCTTTTCATGGTGTCCCCCATTCCTGGATGTTTTGTGTTAAGGATTTGTTAGACTTAAGATTTTCTTTGGTTGATGAACACCTGAGATTCTGTCTTCTATCTCCTGTATTCTGTTGGTAATGCTTGTATCAGTATTACCAGTCCATTTGCCCAGCTTTTCTATTTCCAGCCTTTCTTCAGATTATTCTTTTTATTGTCTTTATTTCAGTTTTTAAACCTTGCACTGTTTGCATTGTTTCTTGCAGTTTTCGGTTTATTTATTCATTTTTTGCATTCTATGAATTTTCGGGTTTGCTCTTTCTTCCATTTCTTGCATTTTTGGTTTGCTTTTTCTTCCATTTGTTGTATTTTTTGGTTTGCTTTTTCTTGCATTTCTTGCTTTGTTTTTTCTTCCATTTCCTGGCTTTTTTGCTTTGTTTTTTCATCCATTTCTTTGAGGGATTTTCCTATATCCTCTTTTAGGGCCTCTATCATTTTCATGAAAGTGGTTTTAAGGTCATTCTCTTCTGCTTCATTTGCATTGGAATGTTGGAGTCTTGCTGGCTTGGAGTCTCTAGAATCTGGTGGTGTCATATTTGTTTTTCTGTTGCTGAGTGTGTTTTTGTATTGTCTCTTTCCCATCTTTTCTTCTAGTGGGTACAGAAAGAGCCCCTTTACTGGTCTGGTGGTTATGGGACCAGAGTTCCCTTTTGGTGAGTGATAGCAAGTCCAATAATCTGGTAGGTCTTCTATTCCTCCTCCTCGTTCTGGTCCCGTCATTGGAGAAGCAGAACAGGAATCTGGGGTGCTTAGCCTCCCACCTGGTCCCCTGTTCCCTTTGCTGGATCTGCTGGTTTCCTGGTCTCGTTGGTGGAAGAGAAGACCTGGAATCTGGTGTGCTTGGCTCCCACCGGGATTGGAAGCACTGTGCAGTTCCCAGGCAATCTCCAGGCACAGGATGGCAGGCCTGGATGCAGGGCCTGTTTTACCTGGTCATGCCGGAACAGCTGGTCCCCTGGTCTCCTTGTTGGAAGAGAAGACCTGGGATCTGGGGCGCTTGGCTCTGTTTTCTATGTAAATAACCTGCCGAAGTGTTGCCTGGTTTTCTGGTTTGTTTGGCTTTTCTTTACTTGAAATATAGGTTTGTTTATCTTATGAAACCAAAGGAAACTATTCTTAAGTCACAGGAATCCATGACTCACATTCCTTTTGCCTAATTTTCCTTTCCTGGGTGCCTGTAGTGAGAGACAGGAAGTTGGAAGTTAATTGGGAGTTACGTAATGGAAACATCATTGCCTACAAAATCAGTTGACCAGCACACCAGTTGATTTTCTTCCCTGGACTGTTAAAAATGTTGACAATACATGCTTTTGTTCTAGGGTTCCTTACAATTTAACTTGCTTACTAAATGAGATTGTATGTAGTATGAATGGTCTTTGCTAGACTTTTCCTCCCCAAGGACTGTAAAGGGTGTTATTTTGCTATATATAGACAGCTCAGTCATTGAAGTGCCTGTCCTGTAAACTTGATGCATAAACAGGTAGACCTCTAGGGTCATGTCTTGTTAGCCTGTATAGGAAGTTATCCAGGCTGTGAAGTATAGGAATGTTCCCCAGCAGAGGACCACTAAATGGAGGTTGACCAGCTCACTGATACTGTTTACTTCTTCCCCATTGCCCCCAATGTAATCATCTTCCTCCAAAAGTAGCTTCCTTAACCACAGTCTGCCTCATTTTGAACCAAAATCAAATGAGCTCAGTAAACTAGAAAATCACCACAAAAGAAACAATCCCTCCCTAATAAATGATTGCTGCAGGGATTTGTTTGTGTAACAAATGGCTGACTAAGTCAGGCCAAATGATTCCATGTATGTGTAATGCTAAACGACATTCCATTAAAGGGATCACCCACACTGTACTTTTTTACTCATCGATGCTGAACATCTGGATTTTTTTCTTGGTTTTTATGAGACAGGGTTTCTCTGTATTGTTTCAGAGGCTATCGGTCCAGCCCGGGCTCGAACTCACAGAGATCCACCTGCCTCTGCCTCCCGAGTGCTGGGATTAAGGGCGTGCTCCACCACCGCCCGGCACGTCTGGATTTTTTTAACTACAGGATTACTCTGAAGAATGCTACTTCAACCATACTGTCCCCTCACTTCTCTGTGGACACCTACTTCATAATCTGGAATCACTGGACCACAAATACCCCATGTCCTGGCTTGCTGGGAACTCATTACATAGTCAATGCTGAGTGGAATGTGCAGAGATCCACCTATACATGTGAGTTCTAGGGCCATAGGGCTGTGACACCAAACATGAATAATGAAGGTGGCTTTGAATGAATAGAGTAGGAAATTGTATTTTTATTCATAAAAACACATTTTTTAACAGAGGATTGGAAATGGCAGTCAATGCAAACAAAAATAACCTAAGCAAATTATGAAAAAACAATATCAAGAACAAAAAACATCAAAATAGCAAAAGTATAACAAAAACCAAAAGAAATAGTCTCTATTGACATAAGTGGCATTCTCTTGCTATAGTTTAAAAGGCACAGATGTACAGCCTGTGCCTGACCTTCTAAGTAAGTCACGGATTTTAACAGGATTTTCAAGATAAGTGTAGCAATTCTTCTCTTGCATCTGAGGAGTTCAGTACTTGCTGGTGATGGGGCTCACAGATGGCTGTTGCTGTAGCAGCCCCTTCTGCAAGTGGCACTCATCCTGGCCTTTGACCTTTTCCAGCTCATGCTGTAGTTTTGGATACCTGGGAAAGCAAATCAGTTAAGACACAGGACATACAGGAACCTAGTGTATCCTCTGTCAAGATCCTCCCTCCCTCCACTTCAGCTGTGCTGGACAGACAACATTCATCATTTGAATGATATCATTGTCATTACCCCCAAAGAATAAGGATCACAGAGTAGCTGGACTTGTAACTTTCCCAGGCCGAAACACAAGTCATGACTTAAAGTAAGCACTGGGTGCTGTACTTTCTACTAGAAAGTATAGGATGTTCTCCTATAGTTCAGGCACATAATTTTGTAAAGATCAACAGCATATTAATACAGTAGTCAACAGCTTATGAGCATATAAAAGTTACACATGATGAGTTATTTATTGACCACATCATTTTATACATAGATATAATAAATCTGCAACATGAGAATCTGAAAAACATCACTAAACTAGCTCAATTCTCATATCCAGGAGGCATGTTGAACATGAACAGCACACAATATAGAACCTGTCACGATAGAGAAGCATTTCCTGAGATGTGTCCCTGTGTGCACTGGCCCTGCCAGGGACAAAACAGAAGCTTGTGATGGCCTTAGGGCTAGAGCTAGCAATGGACATCAAGGCTCCCTTTGTTAGGCTGTGACAGAACATGGACCAAGAAGGTAATGATCTTGCCTGTAGGTGAGGTATCCACAGGTTTCAACCTGGAAAGTTCTTAACCTACTGTATCAAGAGAACAATTTGTACATGATATGGATAAATGTTAGAGAGAAGTGTTCAAAGGTTGGAATATCTTCTCTACAGGGGAGCTTCCTGAATAAATTTGCAATTTTAATCAGGACTGGTGATGCACACCCTCCAATCCCATTGCTTGGGAGGCTAAAGAAGACAAACTTCTATCAGTTCAAGAAACTCCTGCTCAGAACACAGGACGTTCAGGAGGCAGGAGACTCAATTCTCCAGACACACTTGTATAACATGTACTGTTTTCTGGATGGATGTTCTTGTTAAGTGGACTAGCACATTTCTTTGAGGTTCTCTGCTTCAGACTCAGATCCATACAAGTGAGAAGAAGCCCATAAATGATACAGATTCTAGGTATGCGGACCCACTTTGCTCTAACTCTCCCCAGCCCAGCCTGGGCTCCTAACTCATCTGGGAGACATCAAAGTGATGCTACAGCTTTTCTGCCAAATCATTTTTCTGAATGGCCATTTCCTTCTGTTTTAGTAGTACCTCAAGTCTTTGTACTAATATCTTGAGCTCCTGTTGATTAGAAGATGTGTTCTTAAGGAGAATTACACAGTCACACAAATGTAAACACATACAGCAGAATCCCAATAGCTTCCTGGTCAGCATGACTCTTAAAAAGAGTCAGCATCCATGGAAGAAACAGATTCAAGATAGAGATTGACATAAAAGTCATTGGTCTCAGGCCAATGCATAATGCACCATCGTATCCACATATTTGGATACAAAAGGACATGCTCTCATCTCTTCCACCCAGCTACTAGATCTGCTCTTAAGCTCTCTCACTCACACAAGTGCAGAAAGAAAAATATACATAGACACACACAAGAAGAGAGACAAAAAAGATAAGGAAAAGGAGCTAGCAGATAGAAATATCCTGGCAGTTGATCTTGAGTTGAGACAAATCTTTCCAACACTTTTAGAATAGTCAGTCTCATTACTCAGCCATCATTCCATGGGGATTAATGCCTCTGTGGAAAAATATGTTGATTTTCTTGGCTTGATTATGTTGAGCTAGTTAGATTAATTTTCTCCAGAAGGCCCAAATCCCCCATTTTCCACCACAAGCTTACCAAGTTCCCATCTGATGACCCAATCAACCCCAGAGTATATTGTCCGGGATGGGAGAAATATCTAGAACAACTTAGAGAAAACAGGACTGACAACCTGCTACTGAGCCTTCTGTCACTGTGAAGCAAGAGCTGAGCAAAGAGTTGACATGGTGGCTCATGCCTTTAATCACAGCGCTCTGGAGGCAGAGCCAGGCAGATTTCAGTGAACTCAAGGGTAGCCCGGTTTACACAGTGAGTTCCAGGACAGACAGACAGAGAATCCCTATCTTGGAAAAGCAAGAGGAAAAATCCTAAGTATCATAGTCAAATGTAGGCGTGTGATATGTTACTGAACTATCTCCTTCACTGGACTGCAGCTTCAAGCCCAGCAACAGGGATGTTGCCAATGATTCACTTTCACAAGAGGCTAAATTCCCACAGGTAATTGTGCATGGACACTGAATTGAATACTTGGATATCATGAGAAGGTGGCTGGATAGGAGCGTGAATGAGTAACATGATGGGTGAGAGCACAGATGGGTGGGTGGGCAGACAGGCAGTCAAGTGCCCCTACCTGTTGCTGGATTTTCAGGTCACTGCTCTCTTCAACTTGGTTTTTACAGATCAAGATCAAGTCCTCCAAGTGGTGCTTCAGCAGGACCCAATCCTCCTGCAGTTTCTTTTTCTCCTGCCTTAGCATGTCCACCTTCTTGTGCAGCTGAGTCTCTTCCATCAGGATCCGGGTGTGCAGACGTCTGGAGACACACTCTGCATTTAAGGCCCTGCCAGCCTCCTCCTGCCAGCCCTGCATCCAGTAACCACCTCCCCAAGGCCTCATGTGTCCATGAAAACTTAGCCAGATTCTGATACACTCATGACAGCTCCAGTCAGGGCCAAAATGAGAGAAGAGCAGAGAAGAGCTACTTCCAGAAAAAAATCAAACTGCTACATACCACACTAACACCAAAAAGGAATCCATGACCCTTCCATAGAAAGTGGATCCCCCTTACTGTCCTTTACATAGTAAAGGAAGACATCAGTAAATAGTGAGCAGATACCCTCCAAATGCAGACAGGAGACACAAGGTGAGTATCTACTGGTTCCACAGCCATCATATCTATAAAGCCTGGGTCTGAGCTCCAGAAGCCCTTGGCTTCCTGACATTACACTTGCAGTGCAAATCGCCTTTGTATATAGAGGCTGCTGGGGCTCTAGGACAACAGTGGCAGGGGCTAGCAAACAATCTCTGCCCCACTTAGCAAAACTGAGTCCAGGAGATACATATCCAAGAGCTGCTTGCTAAGGAGCAGAAAGGTTGCAACCAGACCTGTGGACTCTTCAGTCAAGAGGAAAAAAAGACAGAAGTAGCAATTCCACAGTTAATATGGTCCATGCCAAAATGGGTACATACCGATGGAAGACTGTCTCCTTGTTCAGTCTTTAGAACTTTTCTGATGCCTCGGTGTTCTCATTCTCAAAGATCTTTAGTTCCCACATGACCTGTTTGTGTTCCATCTTCAATTTGTCATAGAATGGATTTGACTTGTGGTAGGGTCTGAAAACAGGAGGAAAAACCCCATGAACAAGGCCTCAAGCTTCATGTGAACTCAAGTTGTATTCTGATCTGCTCCAGACCAGTGGATGCTACATATTGGGACCTAAATGCAGGGTCTCTTCGTGACTTTAATCTTGTTATCCTGTCCCTGGATCAGCAGAGGATGGATATTCACAGGGAGAGTGGCCTGGATGCATGAGCTCACTCAGTAGTCCTGGATTGTCCATCTATCTCTCTATGTTACCAGGAGTCAATTTCAAAGGTTGGGCACTCCATGCATTACAATGATGATTCTCATGTTTTAGAACATAGACTCTATGGCCCAGTTTACAATTACTGAACAGTTACAGCACGTAATACATGAGTTAAGACTCAACATCAGGACAGCTGTATAAACTTCCAAAAGATTCCTAGGTGCCATCATGGTGAGAACATAGATGCCAACAACAGCATTGATGATTAAAGTTGGTTTCCTGATCTTAGCTCTATCATAGCCTTGAAACTGAGATAGGAAAAATCCTCAGAACCCACCACAGGGCTATGGCTCCCAAATTTGTTGTGGGACACACAAACTTTAAAATGCATGTATGACCATACACATGCCCATGAGAAAGGGAGAAGGGAGGGGGAGAGAAGGAGGGAGAGATTTGGGAAGTATAGGAAGGAGAGATGGACTCAACCAGTCTGGCTAGGCTGGCTGGCTAGTGAACCCAGGGTCACACCTGTGTTCACATTCCCAGTGTTGAGATTATAAGCATGGATCCTGTCAACTAGATGTTACAGGTGCTGAGGCTCAAACTCAGCCCTCCAGCCTCTGTGCAAGAGCGTTATTGTCTGGGCCATTTGCCTAGGTCTTTTGTGCTCTTTGTGTTCCCCTTCTAACCTCTCTGTTGTCCATCCTCTGCCATCTGCCCTGTCATGGGTACAGCACAGGTTTTTCCTCTCCAGCCTAACCACCTGCTGAGATGTCTCCTCTCCTTCTCTGGTCCTCACTGTGCTGGACAACGGTGTCTTGGGAAAGACTTGTTTGTTGACTGCTTTTGCCATGAGACTGAGGATACTCATTCCAGTACTGCACTGCTGAATGTATCTCCTTTGAACTCACAAGGCACAGACAGTCAGAACTGTTTCTGTCACCTCTGATCATGGGTGAGGGACCCAGGGAACTTTCCCAATGCCTCACAGTTAGTGAAGGGAGTTGATCCACCAACAGGCACCTCCCAGT